GTATTATATCGACATTGATAAAAAATAAAACAAAACATTAAAATGGAAATGTGTCTCGATGAATTGCACGAGTACCCTTCTAGTTAAATTATAATAAATTATATATCAAACTGTTTACATATAAAACCTTGTACTTATCATAATTACGCTTTTAACACATTTCTTAGTTATTAAGCTAGAATAACAATTTAATAATCAACATGATATTATTCGGATTTCTAATTATGATAACTTTATCGAAACATACGTATTTTGTGTATATGACCATATACTCCTTTTCAGTATCACTGTTTAACATGTGTTCTGGGCATAGAAAACATACGGTATGAAAATCTCCAAATTTGAAGAAATCTCTATAACTTTATATAGAACATAGAAATAATATTTTAATATTTCCTGTCAATAAGAGGAAATGAAAATAAATGTTTAAGAGAGATAAATAATATTTTATTAAATATATCAAATATTTTACTAAGGGGGTGTTTACTTTTGACTTAATCAGCTTAATGGTTGTTTTGGCTTATTCGCACAGCCATATATGGATGTTTACTTGCGGCTTAATGATAAATATGTCGGCTTATTCGCACAGTAGGGAAGGGGTGTGTTGTCCCCATTAAGCCAAAATATTGACAATTATACCCCTCATCCCACGCCTCCCCTTTCAATCCCATCCCCTCTTTCATTTCATAACCCTAGACGAGAGATAGAGAGCAACGATCAGCGAATCGGATCGGTTGAAAAATTCGTCTCCAGAAATTCGACGGGATGGGAACCATCGTCTTCTCCATCGAATCGGTTGAAAAATTCGTCTCCAGAAGCTCGCGATCAGCRAAGCTCAGACAGATTTCCCAAATCTAAAGGGGGTTCGCGATTATTCAGGTCTGTTAGGGTTTGTGAGGATGGTTAGGATTCATGGAAAATGGTGGCCACAATTTCTTCGACGGTGGATGGCGGAGACGGAGGAGCTGGTGGTTGGCGAAGGTGGCAAGGGTTTTGTCTTTCTATTTTCGTACTATCCAACCTTCCATGCCCCCTGTTTTCGTTGTTAAAAATAATAGAAATTTGCAAAACAACAGATTGTCAAGTTTGCATCCCTTCGTCTTCTCCATCGAATCGGTTGAAAAATTTATCTTGTTGGGAGCCATCGTCTTCTCCATCGAATCGGTTTTGGATTTTTTGGTTTGATGAACAACAGATTTTTGGTTTAAGTTTGAGGGGTAGATTGGTCATTATTGTCATTTAGACGATTGATTCAAATAAAAAAGTAAACAACAATAAACTTTTATCTAGACAGACAAATTTATCTAGACAGACAAATTTATCCATACAGAACTTAATGAAAAATTTGGTAAACAAGCCCTAAGACAGTTAATGCTACAATTGCTAAAATGGAGTAGTTATTAGAGTTGGATGTAATTTTTTTAGAGATTTTGATTTTTAGTACTCTATTTTTAGAACGGAGTTGGATGTAAAATGGAGTCGTTATTAGAGTTGGATGTAAAATGGAGTAGCCTGTCAATAATGGGCCTATGAATTTTTTCAAGCGGGTAACACCATTTGACTATATGAAACGAAAATATGGATATTTTTCACAAAATCATTATTGGTCTGTTATCATTGTAATATAAAAATATATATGTTTGCGCATAACAAAATGATATGATGACATGCATCTTTCAGAACCCTCACTACAACAAAATTGGGGTTATAGGACACCCTCAATCTCTAAGCGTCCCAATAAATCGTTTTATAAAACTTATTTTATAGGACCAAAATATAAAACGGCTTATCTAAAGGTGTTGTAATAAGTTTATATGACGCTTTTGGGCGTCTTAACAAGTTTTTCAGGACATTTTTAATACTAAGTGTCGCATTTGCAACTTTATATGACATTTTTGAGAAAATGTCCTATAAACTCATTTTTTATAGGACATTTGTATTTATAGGCCAGTTTTTCAAATAGTGTCCTATAAAGTTGCTGATGAGACGCTTTATATCAAAAGTGTCCTAAAAAACTTATTACGACGACAAAAAAAGGTCATATAAACTTATTACAACGCCTTTAGATAAGACACTTTATTTTTTTGGGTTATAAACTAAGAAGCCGTTTACTAAACCCTTATCTGTTAAGTGCTTATCGGGTAATTTTCCTTATCTGATGAACATAAGGAGAGTCAAAAATCTTACTCGGTAGGAGCAATGATAAGGACGGAGAGTCGTACTTGGTAAGTGAGGGTGACGACTCTTACCCGGGTAAATGCTTACCAAGTAAATTGTTGCATACGACATCATTTTAATGTACTACAATCTTACCCGATAAAATACATTATAGTGTTGAGTTTTAACGGTATGTGCTTACTCGGTAAGCATTTAGGTAAACGACCCCTAAGTCCTATAAAGAAGTCTATTAGGACGTTTAGAAATTGGAAGTGTCCTATAAACCTGATTTTGTTATAGCGCCTAAAAACTCAAACGTTGGATTAGGACCAATGCGAACCTTGGCACTTTAGAAATTCAAAGGTTGTCAAGGCAATCCCTTCGTGAAGATGTCAACGAGCTAAAGATGAGACAGAACAAAAGCGGGTGTAGATTTTGCCATCTGAAACCAGTTCCCGAACAAAGTGATAGTCAATATCAATATGCTTCGCCTGTTTACGTGCAATCGGATTTTGACCAAGAAAGATAGCACTTCTGTTGTCGCAAAGCAAGAGAGGTCGAGCTAGCGCAAGATAAAGCATGAACTTCACAAAGTAAATGGGTCACCCAAACAAGTTCAACGGTTGTGTTCGCTAGAGCTCTGTATTCTGACTCACAACTTGAGCGTGCCACGGTGGGTTGTTTCTTAGCACTCCAAGAAACAGATTACCTCCCAAGAAAATTGAGACTCCGTAGGTGGAACGTCGCGTTTCAAGGTAACGGGCCCGATTAGTGTCTGAGTACCCAAGAAGAGTTGAATTTTCTGATCGAGAAAAAGACAACCCAATATTAAGTGTGCCATTAACGTTCGTAGAACATATTTTACAACGAGAAAATGTTCATCTTGTTAAATTTAGTTATTTGGACCTATTTACAACACCGAATAGCTAGGTTCGAGTAGGGCTGTAAACGAACCGAACGTTCAGCGAATCGTTCGACGGACAGTTCGTTTATTTAATAAATGAACGGACATGAACAATTTTTTTTATTCGTTTAGTTAAACGAACGAACATGAACAAGAGTCTCGTTCGTTCATTTATGTTTGTGAACGTTCGTTCATTTACCGTTCGTTTATGTTCGTTTATATATTAAATTTAATATATAATCTTTTGTTTGTATACTTTGAATTCAAATAATATTTATTCATGTTTGTTTAGTTCATTCGTTTACGTTCGTTTAGCATGTTAACGAACAAACAAGAACATACCTGATTTCTAAACGAACGAATACAAACATAAAGATTTCCGTTCGTTTACCGTTCGTGTTCGTTCATTTATTCGGTTAAGTTAAATGAACGAACATGAACAAGCATCCATTCGTGTTCGTTCGGTTCATTTACAGCCCTAGGTTCAAATGAGGGATCGAAAGTTATAATAAAAATCGATATCCCATATCGTTTAAAAGAGTTTAACATAATAATCACTCTCGATATCCATATTATTCCAAATACGACTCTTAAAGCATAACGTTTATCCTAAACGATTTCGGATCATTGTTCGGCTTTAAGAGTTGAACATATATAAAGTTGTACATCATTACGTTCAACAGAAGAAAAAAAAAACTAAAAACCAAAACAAATACTTAATTAATACAAATGCATGTATATATATATATAGACTTAGGATCATGTGAGATAAGGTTGTTTTCATGAGATACGTGAGACAATATTTTTACACTTGAAACTTTACAGCAAAACACTGTGAAGGTTCAGTTTCCTTTTTACCTTCACAACATTTGTTGTGAAGTTTCAAGTGTAAAAATATTGTCTTTCGTGTCTCACGAAAACAAGCAACTCTCACGTAAACCCAACCATATATATATATATATATGAAGATATATCCATCATCTACCATCGTCTTTGGGTCTGCAGATTCCTTTTCAACTTGTACAACTTAATTGGTTCTTCTTGTCATCAACTTTAGAGATTCATGCACCTTGTCTCTTTATCTGAATTAACGTTTTTCAAACAATCAACAACCGATTGATTTGTGGGTATGTTTCTTTACGTGTAACTAATACACTACACTAAAATCAGGTTTATAGAACACTCTCAATTTTTAAGCGTCCTAATAGATCTCTTTATAAGACTTAATTTATAGAACGAAAAAATAAAGTGTCCTATCTAAAGGCGTTGTAATAAGTTTATATGACGTTTTTTTAACGTCGTAATAAGTTTTTTAGGACACTTTTAATATAAAGCGTCTCATTAGCAACTTTATGTGACACTATTTGAAAAACTGTCATATAAAAACAAATGTCCTATAAAAAATTAAGTTTATAAGACACTTTCTCAAAAGTGTCCTATAAAGTTGCTAATGCGACAGTTTATATTAAAAATGTCCTAAAAACTTGTTAAGACGCCCAAAAGCGTCATATAAACTTATTACAACACCTTTAGATATGACGCTTTATGTTTTGGTTCTATAAATAAAGCGGTCTATTGGAACGCTTAGAGATTGAGGGTGTCCTATAAACTCAATTTTGTTGTAGTGAGAAAAATGATTTTTTTTTTTGTTCGATGTGCTTTTTATGACGTTAGCCGTCCTTAAACGATATAATCGAATACTTGATAGGACTTTTAAGTTTATAAAACCAACAACTAAGTGTCGTGTACATATACAATGGTGTTACATTCAGTTTTAAGACGAAATTATGTGATTATATATAAAGAGAGAGTCAGATTCATACGAGAACAGTAACCAAATAAGAAAACACGTGAAGGGTCGAATCATCTGTGATTTTACACTAAAATCATCTGTAAATCATATGTGATTCACCAGGTCACGGACAAGTCATCTGCTCACTCTTGCACTGACCGTGATCCGTAATGATATATGCAAAATCACGTGTGATTTTTGACCGATTTCGTGTTTCTCATTTTGAACCTATTCCTGCTTGATCCTCCCCCTACCTATAGATAATATACATATACATTTGTAATCACTAGAGCTCAGAAAGTGTTTGCTTGAACTTAAAAATTATGTGATTATCGTGAATAAGCATCAATCGTCTGAACAAACTCAATCAGCTGCACACAACTGTGTGTTTCTTTGTAAAGTATGTCTGTTTTCAAGTGAGTTTGAAGGAGAAACCTGAAAATACGTTTCAAGCTTTCGCTTTAGAGTGGCGTGCTCGTGCTTCACTTGTCGAAATATCCCGATGCATCTGCAATCAAATTACGAAAATAAAGGGATTTGAACATCCGATCGATCTTCAAATAATTCAAGTTTCAGCCAAACGAACGATTAATTCTATACCCTTCGGTATTCCTAGCTTTGCAACATTCTTGAAACTGAGAGCACTCATCCTTCACCTTTTTAGCGCCGATGCTACACGAAAAATTCGTATAAGTATGTATGTATATATATATATATAGGTGGAGGTTCAAACGAGAACACCTCCATTTTATGAGAACACGAGAACACTTTTATCACATATGAATGAAATATTGGGATGGATGCTTGTAAATTTTTTAACATATATGTAACATACCTTGAGCTACTACCCTTGAATTGATGCATATAATCATCGAGCTTGCAAAAATCCAGAGGGTAATTATCCCTGTAAATACAGTCATCTATCGCTACATTAGCACGAATCTCATGATGTAACGAATACGGTCTTGTGCGACCCGCGATATTTAAGAACAAGAATCGCACGAAAAAAACTGTTGACAAAAGGGATATTCCTCCGTTGGTTGATGGCTACTTACAATGCGGTCTCTATATTGCGAATTAGTCTTGTTGAATCGGAGTAGAACAATGTGACGATTTCTTCCACAAAATTAGGGTTTGCATCATCTTGCAAATCCTCAAGTTGGATGAATTGTTCATCCAAATAACCCTAAAGAAAAAGGTCGATCCCACATTAGTTTTGTATATATAAACCAGATGATGAGAAATGTGCGACACGTAAATATGAGTTCGTATATAGCTCGAGATACATGTGCGAATACGTATATGGATTCGGAGTTTGGGTCGAGTAGGTTAAAGTTAGACGTCGACTTCCACCAAATTATGAGGAAATGAAATGAAAAGATTCTTGTGAATAGCCGAATATTGCAGTAACTAATTAAGGTTTCTTTCGTTTATAGCATTTTTTTTTTTTCATTTGGCTTTTGAAATATGATTAGCTCCATACTTATGGGAATTGAGACAAACTCAAGAAGGGGGTGTCATATCTCCTTACGTTTATGGGGTTGCATTGGTTATACAAATGAACATGGTTGCATTTGAAATATATATATATATATATATATATATATATATGTGTGTGTGTGTGGCAATACATATGTGTACAGTTGGAGCATAAGATTTATAAGTGTTGATGACATGCATTACCTGTTGAAAGAGGGAATTTCTGGCGGAGTTAATCTGCTTCTTCATGTGATTTTGGTCCATGAATGTTTTGTAAAGATGTGAAATGAAAGATGGGTGCACTTCTTTTGGTATTGCTTCCTTCTATTAAACCAAGCCATGCATAGCCTTTTATATATAGTCAAGAATTTTAGGGTTTGGGGTGGGGTGGGGTGGGGTGGGAGGAGGTCATGTTGCATGGCATGAAAGAGAGAGGGAGATAAAAAGGAATCAAAATGACACGTGTCGTATTTGCCATGTCATCACCATCGATAAAACAAGAAACAAAAATCCTAAAATTCAAGATCTTGAATTGTATAAATGTGTGTATACATACATATATAGGGTTAGGTTGGGTTCACGTGAGATCAGGGGTTTTTCGTGAGACCCGTAAGATCAATTTATGTTCATTGATCAACTTTATAAGCTAATAATCTAATGATCTAAAGATGTTGCATGACAACAATTTTGTGATTATTGAGAAGTCTTGTGACAAATTTGTGATTATGAATGTTCAGATTGTAGATCTAATCCAAAGGTTGAGAATTAGTCTTATGGGTCTCACGATAAACCTTTGGTCTCACATGATCCCAAGTCTCTCTCTCTCTCTCTCTCTATATATATATATATATATATATATATATATATATGTGTGTGTGTGTGTGTGTGTGATTGTGTAGTGGTGGTTTAATGATATGAAAAGTGGTTTATATTATATTGTTCTTGATCCGGAGGGGTCACCCCCCTCTCTATAAAAAAAAAAGTGGTTTATATTCGGTTAGCTTTTAGGAGAGAGGTTTATGTACAGAGCCAAGTTTTTTTCAAACTTGTCATTTTCAATTAAAAAAATATTTTTCTGTGAGAATATGTGAAAGTTCAGATTAATCTCTAAAAGAGCCCTTGAAAAGATAAGGGAGATTCCAACATATATAGAGGGCATTGTCCAAATCTAGCCGATGTGGGATTCTAACACGTCCCCTCCAACAGAGGCTAGACGGGCACTTATTGTCCCAGAGTGTCGAGACGGGGCTAGACAGGTGAAGGGCCAGGGATTACCCAAAGTATCGAGTCACTAGAGTGGTAGATCTTGACTCTAATGTCATGTGAGAATATGTGAAACCTCATGTTAATCTCTAAAAGAGCCCTTGAAAAGAGAAGAGAGGTTCCAACATATATAGAGTTTAATTGTCCAAGTCTAGCCTATGTGGGACTCTAACAGCTCCTTCCATCCATGAAAAAAAATTTCCCCAATAAAAAAGACATTCTCAACTATATAGATAGATAGATATTAATCCGCACAGACAGTTATCCATACACGACTTTGATAAACCAACCAACCGAACAACCCCTAACTCGAATGGCTAATCCAACTTGGTTCAAACCACAATCAGGAATCGGACATCAAGAACCTGTGATCACGGGCACAAACACATATTATGATCAATGGAATGCCTCTTCAGCGCATAATGATTTGCATATCATATTATTGTATTCTGGGAATGTAGAATAATTGTAGATGCATATAGAATGATGGACCAAGAATTAACCCTCATCTTTGCGAGTCTCGATTGATCGATCAGGGAATATAAGCAAAAGTTCAATGATGAATCATCGGAATTACCAGCGAACGGTGGTCCTGCTGGTGTCACGTTGTCCATTGCTCAGCAACTTATACCACCACAACAAGATGCTTGCACTCCTTTATTCCATTCTAATCTTTTCTTCCATCCATCAATCAGATGGCGAGAAATTGATATTCATTTCACCATCAATCGCAATCCCGTGGTTTTGTATGAATGGGGTGGTGGTCACACCCTGCACCCTGCTTTATAATCGAAGAATACAGAAGCGGATAAAAGAGGATATTACTGATCAATCATTGGATGGAGTTTTTCCCGTTTCCTTGAATGGATATCGATCACGTACTTTGTAGATAACGAAAACCCCAACTCGCAAAATGAATCATAAATATCAAGCATCGATCGATCACAAGATTCTCGGGTTTTCAAGTGGTGTGGTTTCGGTGTCGTTTTTACGAACTGAATCAACGAAAAAAAACTGAACTTTTTCGCATAAAAGATGATGGAAACTTAAAGAAATATCTAAAGAATTAATCAATGTGGGGCTGTCTGTTCATTCGTTCGATCAATCATCAAGCCATCGATCGAAAAGATGTTATACTGACTCGATACATCCTGATTGGCGGTATCAGTTCTCCTCATCTCTTTCTTTAAGAATCTGTACGCAATCTTGAAAGCAACATCTTCTATATGATCTGCTGGCTGAAACTCCACCCCAGTAATCAGACACGAGTTCTTGAAACGAACCTGCAAAAAAAGCTAACAAAAAGTCAAGGGTACTGTTGATATATTCATATATATATATATATATATATGTATATATATATATGTATATATATATATTATGGTTGATATCTAAATGTAGCATCGTTCATTCATTAATGAATAATTGGTATGTATGTATAATATCTTGGAAAATATCAGCAGCAATATGCAAAGTATGGTGTATATGTCACCAGTTGATGATTAAGACAATAGAACATGAGGGCTGAATTGATATGGATAGAAAAGAAGAAAGAATAAACGTAAAATTGATATAAAGTTTTGGAAATCATCAATTCAAAACCACTTGATGCGTGCAAGTGTGGCAAATACTAGGTTATAGACGTATTTGCAAGTGGAACACTTGACGTACGGATCGGAGGCTCGATCATATCCTTGGCTTCTCGAAAGTTGCTCGATCGGTCACAAAGATGTTGGTGATTTCTATCACTAATATCATTTAGGTGTAATGAGATTAATTTGTTGACCAATGTAATTATGATAAATATCGAACAAGTAAGGAAGGTGCAGAGTGCACACTTGTTTGAGTTTATTTTGATTTAACGGGGGTCCGAGGGCAACGCCCCCGGTGGCAAGGTCCAAGGGGCACAGCCCCTGGTTGGGGTCGAAAAATGTGGTTTTGAAAGTCGTGTATCACTTTGTGAAAAATGATTCAAAAATCCGAATTTGAAATTTTAAACTCGGTTTTGACCCAGTTTTTTAATTGTCGTATGGCAGTTTTCGACCGTTTTGAGGGAAAAGCTACGTTTTGGTCCTTTTGATTTTCGGTACATAGATTTCATAACACGAAAACTCTCAGTTCAGGAAATCACTGAATTTTATCCGATTAAAATTTCGATTGTACCATCAAAATACTTCAATCTGAAAGTGATACACGATTTCAGTGGAATCCAAGTAATCGAAAATCAGAATTTCTAACAAGAGATTGGCCTTTTCGGGTGGAAAATCTTGATGTAGAACGGAAGCAAGAACACGCATATAGTTTGTACACACGTTATGATCGAGATAAAATGTACAATTATCCAATCATATAGAAGTTTATTTTTTGCAACACATGTTGTAACATCGTCAAGTTTGGAAAGAACGACTAATTTAAGATTTTTGATAAAATATCAAATAAGGAATAAATTCTTTTCTAAACGTCAATACTTGATTACCTATTACAACAATCTATGATTTGACATCAACCAATAAATATCCATCGAATTTGGTGAACACAAAGTAAGTCATACATCAATGTTACTGAGTTTTTCTCAAGATCAATGGGCTCCATATATGACTCTATCGAGTACCATCGCAAGACTCAAGCTTTGTATACGACTCCAACGAGTACCATCGCAAGCCTTTGCCCCGTATATGACTTCTACGAGTACCACTACAAGCATTAGGGTGACCATGATTCCTACTCGTCCTCTAGATGAGTCTCACCCACAAAAGTCAACAGTCTCCATATACGACTCATACGAGTACCACCGCAAGACCTTAGCCCTGTATACGACTCAAACGAATACCACTGCAAGCTTTCCCAATCATTGACTTAATCGGTGACCACTCACTAGAAATTATAGTGAGAACATCAAAACTCCTCACTTGAACAACAAAAATCGACCCATTGGTTCTGAATTCCGAATTTATGCGATCTGCAATACCAAATGGCATCGATAACTCATAGGCCCCAGAGTCTGACTCTACATGAGTTTATCTCCATAATATCCAGAATGACATCATACGACTCATATGTCTATGGATCCATAATATCACAGTCTAAATTACATGACTCCAAATTGAATGACCAGCGCACTCAAAACATGTTGTTCTCAAATAAAAATGCAGTTAATGCAAATCATGCTCAAAGCTCAACATTGAACGATTTAAACCGAAAAAATGTCCCCACAACTCATTTGAACCAAAAACAACCTACTAAAATCCAACATAAGTTAATAAAATGCATTTTCCAAACAATTTATGAAACCAAATAAACTAAAAATGTATTAACATCAAATAATCTCCATTTGTGCAATAATCATCAAAAGGCCACACACTTTATGATTTGTTATCAAAAGATCCAAAAATAATTATTTCATCAATCAATATGATTTAGCTCGGGTTTCTAAAATAGAGGCAAACGTATTCTTTTGTGAGCGACCCTATAGGTTTACATACTCGTTGGCAGTGTTCCTATGTGATACATGTCGTGGAAATATAATAACTTACATTCTCTCACTTGCACACAATACACGAGCAACACGTCACCTCCCCCAAGGCTATGTAAATGTGTTTTACTTTGAGCAATTTGATTGATCTAATCAATCATATGGTAGAATCACTCATTATCTTTTTGCTTCATGATATTTTTTTTTTGAACTTAGCGTAGATCTATCTCATTCTTGATAGTTCAAAATAGAGTTTCTCGATCCCAACATATTTTGATTAGACAACTGTTATTAGTTCAACTAATCCACTTGTCGATGGCCTCATCGAGGGGCCAATAAATATTTCTCTCTTCTTGAGAAAAGCAAATCTCATATTGCATGTACACGACTTATACATAATTCATGTTATACCCAATATAGCCTTAATGACTAACTAGTTAAGGGTAATGTTAGACTATATCAAAATATAATACTATTTCTGCATTAGGTCCCAATGCACATCTCATGTCTGAAGATAAGAGTTAGGGGTGTTCAAATAAAACGTTGGACCG